GAAAGAGGGGTAAATGGTGTTTTGTAGCTGAAACTTCATGAAAAGGACTATTCTGTCGATCACGTCCTCCAGGTAGACCATTTTTGGCATGTTGCTGGACGTCATGATGTGTAACGCGATTAAAGACGCATCCACTGCTCGTTGCACTCTCTCCATGGCCAGTTGCATCCACAATCGACTCTCATCCACATCATCGTCAGGATCTGCTAACGGAGAGACTTTGGCTCCATCTCGAATATTTTTCTCCAAGATATTCAATAGTCTAACCAGTCTCTCCGCTGGAATGGACTCCATTGCACCCAATGCCTTCAACTTGGCCGCTTCCGTGCACAAATCATGTAATTCATATTTATTAATTAATAATTCTGCAGGCACATCACCGTCATCCTCGAATTCAGCGTTGGTTGTTGCGTCCTCTGTGTTCTCAAATATCGTCTCTATGGTTGTGTTGAAACGCTGATAGGTGTTCGTCTCCATTAGCTCTTCGACACTGAGTTTAGCCAACACAGGGACAAGTTTTTTCTCTATTTTTCTTATTTTTGGTTTCGTTGGTGAAAGACCTTCCTTTTTATCCTCTTCCTCGTCATCGTCTAGCACCCTTCTTCGTCTACGTATTTTGTCTTCGCTCTTCTTCCTCTCGGCTTTTTCTTTTTCCTTTTGGACTTGGCGTTCTTTCGCGCGCGCCTTGAAGTATTTATTATTTTTGCCAATTTCTTCCTCGCTCTCTGATTCTGATTTTATGTCTTCGCGATTGGAAATGCCCATCTTCGCGGCTCGACTCGGTGACTTTTCTGCAAACGCGGCTAAACTCTTTTGCATTAAAGCTTGGTCTGCTAAGGACAGTCTATCCAACATAACGACTGGCTCTTTTAATTTCTCTGGTAAAGGTCCAGGAATTTTCATCCCTTTTTCTGAATTATTGTTTTGCTGGTGCTGTATCATTGGTGTTGTTACGGCGTTCAAAGTATTGACCATGTCATTGGTATCCATGTTTGGGTAAGATGTGGTTTGCGTTGTAG